GAGTTACAGAGGTGAGCAAGCCCTCTCCTCCACAGCCCTCTGGGACCTTTCCAGCCATCAGGAACACACCCATTTCTGCAGCCTGAAGCTCTTCTCTTTAGCAGGTTGTAGCAATCATATACTGCGTGTGAGATCACTGATTTTTTACATTGTTACACACTGTATGTGCCCCGTCTTACCACGGATTTATGACTTGCCTAGCTCATCTATCTTTGTACAGTTAAGCCCTCTACACAGCATTTTGTATAGCAGGTGGCAAATAATTGGTTTTGAATGAATCAGTGAAGAGATACCGACTAAATACAGCAAACCCTTGAACAACACGGGTTTGAAACGCATGGGTTCACTTACACATGGATTTTTTTCAACCAACCACAGATCAAAAACACAGTATTCACAGGATGTGAAATCTGAGTATACAGAGGGTCGACTTTTCACATACATGGTTCCGTAGGGCTGTTTTATGTGGATTTTTGACTGTGTGGGGGTCAGTGCCCTTAATGCCCATGTTGTTCAAGGGTCAACTGTGGAATATACCAATATTTATAAAGCAAATGTATTTCACAGGGCCTCCAAAGCCCTGCAGTTTCAGGTTTAGCCTAACTTTTTAAAAGTACATATAGAAATGTTAACCTTGCAAAAGACAGGAAACTTTCCCCAGACTAAAGCCTCTGATATTGATATAGAATTGTAACACAGCAAAAAGAGTAGATGTCCTTGGTGCAGGTTATTAACCTTACTTAATTGTTATGTAAACATACTAAGGAAATTGCCATAGGGAAAAACAGTGTTTGCTAAGATGAAGCTTTTGTTGGTGGATCAACTTAACCTTTTGCAAATTGCATTATGGAATGTCACATTGCTTGTTACCAGCCTTTATTGTTAAACTATAANTCCTGTAACTTCCTGGTCTGGAGAATAAATGCAGGGCGAGAACCCCAGTTCATGGTTAATTCCCAAAGGAAGGAATGCCTTTCTCTTGAGGGTTCTGGGAAATTAACCCCTTTAGGGTCTCTCACTGCTTGGAAGAAATGGGCTTTGAGTAATCCTTTTTGCAGCTCTGTCACCCAGGGGAAGAAAGGTGACAAATCCGTGTGAGGCAAAGCAACAGTCAACTGTATTATATTTTTCAAAGCTCAATTAACAGGAAAATTCAACATCATGACGAACCATTGTTATAGAAAGCCGGGCTGAAAACCTCATAGATGTTAAAGACCCCGTGCTGTAGGGCTGGCCAGCTAACTCGGTTAGAACACAGCCTTATTAACACCAAGGTCACAGGTCCAGAGCCACCAAAAACAAACAAACACCAAAGACCCCACCTTGTAAGTAAGAAGTTACCCTACCTGTTCCCAGGTTCCACTACCACTGCCGACAGCACACCTGGATGGCCAGGTATTGGGACAGAGACTAAGGGCCCCTTGGCATGGGATTTACAAAACTCCCTGCTTATCTTCAACATATCAAAAATGTAGCATCCATTCATTCCANGTTATCAGCACCGCACTCTCCCAAGTGAGCCATGCGCTGGCCCAAGAGGGTTGGAATTCTAGCTGCTACCTTTCCCGTTACAAGCTTCAAGTGCCTTTGCTAGTCATTCAAGCACCTGGCAGGTGCCCTGTTCTGTCTTACTGGAGTTACAGAGGTGAGCAAGCCCTCTCCTCCACAGCCCTCTGGGACCTTTCCAGCCATCAGGAACACACCCATTTCTGCAGCCTGAAGCTCGTAAAAAAAACCAGATTTTATAAACTTTATTGCCAAAATGTTTGTTTTAAATGCTGGTGATTTAGATTATCAAATTTTCTTCCATTTCCTGGGGAAAAAAAAAAAAAATTCCGAAACTACAAAAGATATTGAACAGGGTCCCAACCAGAAAGAAAAGTTAACATACTTTCAATAAACCAGCTCCCCATCCTTCCCTAGCCTCTTTCTCTTTTTTTTGGAGAGGAACCCATCAGTTCCATTCCTAAAAAGAGGCTTTTAAAATGCCACAGGTAATGGCCTCCCCAACCTTTCAGGCGGAGGCCTGCGTGGTTGTGCGTGGGCTCCCAGGGCTCTCTGCTGAGGCACTCCTGTTCAGTTTGCCAACCTCTGCCTGCCAGCCTGGGATCTTCTTGGTAGTCATGTGGCGCCGGGCATGCTTGGTCAGGTGGTCGCTGCGCATGAAACGCCGGTCACACACTGGGCACATGAACTTCTTCTCCCCTGTGTGTGTTCTGCGGTGGCGAGACAGCTCATCTGAACGAGCAAACTTTTTATCACATCCATCCCAGCTGCAGGTAAAAGGCTTTTCCCCTAAGAGGCGTGAAAACATATGGAAGAAAAAGTAAATGCTTAGCAACTTGTAGATACATTAGTGCAGGTCATTTTATTTTATTTTTTTGTCTTTTTTCATGACCAGTAAGGGGATCGCAACCCTTGGCTTGGTGTCGTCTGCACCGTGCTCAGCCAGTGAGCGCACCGGCCATTCCTATATAGGACCCGAACCTTATTCCAATTTAAACATTTTTCAGGTTGGTAGAAATGTAACGTTAAGTGATCTTATCCAAGGTAAACTTACCCAAAGATTCTATTTCTCATGAAAACACCAATTGAGTGTTTACAAAATGGCATAAAAAGAGGAATTTTCAGAACCTTATGGTTATTTAAGTTGAAGTACTTGGGGAAACACAAAAGGAGCTTGTTTTGGTCATCATATTTTCTGCTATTCTGCTAGTACTTCTACCAATAAACAATAAAACCTCATTCAGTCACCTCCCCCAATCTGGAATCTGCTTTGATATGAAGTTCACCTGGGCAGTCTCAGTGAAAAGTAGAGTTGGCCAAGTCAGTGAGCCCGTAAGACAGCAGAGCAGGTCAATTCCCTCAGAAGCACTATTCACACTAGCACTACCACCAGCCCCCTGTCATGCCAACGACTGACCATCATTTACTAGTGTCATGCTGTGTCAGACGCCAGGAGTTTACATGCAGGTGAGACAAATATGTAAGTAACTAAAAAACAAAGAATGTGGTGAGACATACAATAAACCAGTAAGGTCAAACAAGGAAGGAAACAGTCTAAGAACTGATTTTGGGAAGCCCCTTGGAGAGTTTTCAGTAAGTACAAATGGGCAGAGGGTGAAGGGTGGAAACATGGAACGGAGAGAGGTCAAAGCAGGGGCCAGGTTTGGGGTCTTATCCCCGAAGCAAACAGCCACTCCTTAGCATGGAGGAATAGTACAGTTCCTTTTGTAATGCCTAAATACCAGACTGTGCTTCATTCCACAAGCAGGGGCGCCATGATCAGAGATTTCTTGTGCTAATTAGAAACAACCCTACCTCAAATGCACTTGGGGGGCTGGCCGGTAAGTTCAGTTGTTTAGAGTGCACTGTTATAACACCAAAGTCAACGGTTTGGATCCCCATACCAGCCAGCTACCAAAAAACAAACAAACAAAATGCACTTGGTAGTAAAGTACAGTAAGTAGGAACTCCCTCCAGCTCAGCCTTTCCTATATCATATCTCACAAGTCAGGCATTCTGGTGGAAAGGGGATTCCACAATCAAGAGTTTAGAAAACACATCTATACGCTGGCTGTTTAGCTCACTTGGGAGAGAGTGGTGCTGGTAACACCAAGGTCAAGGGTTCAGATACCCTTACCAGCCAGCTACCAAAACAAACAGAAAAAGAAAACACATCTATACTGCAGAACCTTTGACCTGTGTAGTGGATTGAATTACATCCCCCCAAAACTCACTGAAGCTTGAATTGTGTCCCCTAAGTTTTATGAATTAGAAACTTGGCTGTGACTGGTGGGAAATCCTATTATGGTAACTGAAAGGGAGAGCCTTGAAGAGATGATTAGATTAGGACCATGCCATAGCAAATGGATTAAAAATGACGGTCAGGGGCGTGGTTCTGAGGGCTTTAAAAGAGTCTGTCTCTCTCTCTCTCTGCTCTGCTTCCACCATCTGGCAATGTAAGACTCCTGAGTCACTGTCACCACCACCAGCTGGACTATGGACTTACCAGCCTCAGAAACTGTAAGCAATAAATTTCATTTTCTTTATAAATCATCCAGTTTCAAGTATTTTGTTATAAGCACCAGAAACAGACTAATACAACCTGTAAATGTGCTTATATGCAAGTACATGTGTGGATTTCTGAAAGGCAAGTTTAACAAGCAGACTTAACCACAGGATCCTTAAAAAACAAAACAATAGAACACTAACTCACAAAATGAGAGCTCCACAAAACACCTGAGAAATGCTGTCCTAATTTACTAAGGTGATTCTCTACCAGCTAACACTCAGTCCTCTGATAAGCAGTATGGTAGCTACCAGCCCCTTGGAGCTATTTAAATATAAACTTCAGGGCCGGCCCGTGGCTCACTTGGGAGACTGTGGTATTGATAAATGTAAACTTCAATTAACAAAAATGTAAAACTCAGTTCCCCTGTCACCCTAGCCACATTGCAAGTGCATGTGGTTAGTGGCTATCCTAACGACAGAGAATATTTCCATAGCAAAATTTTCTATTGGACAGAATTGATTAGGTGATAGAGAGATCATTAAGTCATTATAGTTTTGTTTGACTTCTCAATTAAAAACTATACATTATTGGGGCCAGCCCGGTGGCGCACTGCTATAGTGTGCTGCTTGGGAAGTGTGGGGGAGCTCCCACCGAGGGTTCGGATCCCACATACAGACCGGCCGCTCACTGACTGAGCAAGGGGCGGGAGCAACACCGAAGGTTGCGATCCCGTGGCCGGTCCCGGTCCGGTACGGGCGCGACACTGAGGGTTGCAATCCGTTGCCGGTCACGAAAAAAGACAAAAAGGATAAAAAAAAATAAAACTATACATTATTAAAAGTAAGAAAATTATATTCTTTAAAAATAGTCTAGAATTTGAGGCTGGCTGATTAGCTCAGTTGGTTAGAGCACGATGTTGTTAACACCAAGATCAAGGGTTTGGATCCCCATACCAGCCAGCCACCAAAATTAAAAAATTCTAGAATTTGAATTTTGTATAGTTTCTACAGACCTTTGTCCACGTAAACATAAGTAAGTAACATTGATTAAAATGTCTTAAACAGGGCCGGCCCGGTGGCGCACTGCTGCAGTGCGCCGCTTGGGAGCGCGGTGGCATTCCCACCGAGGGTTCGGATCCCACATACAGACCGGCCGCTCACTGGCTGAGCGGGGTGCGGGAGCAACACCAAGGGTTGCGATCCGTTGCCGGTCACGAAAAAAGACAAAAAGGAAAAAAAAAAAAAAATGTCTTAAACAGGGGCGGCCCGTGGCTCACTTGGGAGAGTGTGGTGCTGATAACACCAAGGCCACGGGTAGGGATGGCCAGTTAGCTCACTTGGAGATCATGCACCAAGTCAAGGGTTAAGATCCCCTTACTGGTCATCTTTTAAAAATAAATAAATTAATTAATTAAATAAATAAATTAAACAAACAAACAAACAAAAATGCTTTAACTGAATGTGAATGCACACTTTAAAATGTAAAGACAGCATGAGATGTCTACTGCAGTGTGAACAGAAGGGGGCAGTAGGAGTCACCCTAAAAGACACAAAGGATGACAACTATAGAACTATATTAAATTTAGGGGCCGGCCGGGTGGCGCACTGCTACAGTGCGCCGCTTGGGAGCGCGGCGGTGCTCCCGCCGAGGGTTCGGATCCCACGTACAGACCGGTTCCCGCTCACTGGCTGAGCGAGGTGCGGGCGCAACACCGAGGGTTGCGATCCCGTTGCCGGTCCCGGTCCGGTACGGGTGCGACACTGAGGGTTGTGATCTGTTGCTGGACATGAAAAAAGACAAAAAAAAAAGAACTATATTAAATTTTATCTACTAGGATGAGGAGTTGAAACTGTATAAAAACCAGTGAGAGCTGTGCTCATGTTAACCTCAATCCCTATGAGATGAAGACTTTTCAGAACCAAAGAAAAACAGCCACATTTCCTCCTTCTCCACTGGTTCTCACGCTTCCCCCCTTTCTTCCTCTGCGGTGGATCAGCTGTGTTTCCTGTCCACAGGGTCCAGTGTGCCCAATTCCCTACCTGCCCCAGCACTTACCTGTGTGAGTACGAAGATGAGCCTTGAGGTGGGAACTTTTGAAGTAGGTCTTCCGGCAGCCTGGGAAGTTGCAAACATAGTTTCTCCTTCGGGAAAAGTCTACCTGAGGGGCACAGTTTTGGCTGGAGGCAATGAACACTGGAGCAGGGGCAAGGGGCAAGAACTTGGTATTCCCAACAGCCATGACACTTGATGAGCAGGTGGCAGGCTGGGGGAAGGCTCCCTGGGGCAGAACCAGCATCACAGTTCCCTGAGGCGCAGGTGGTCCCATGAACACAGGCTGGGGCACTGGAGTAGCCTGGGGTAGGATGGGTTTGACAGTCCCCGCAGACAACTGGGGAGGGGGTTTCAAGAAAGCTGGTAACATGCTACTTTGTCCAGTCACAGGAATCATTTGGCAAAGGACAGGGAGACTGGGGACAGGGACAGAAATCAGAGGGGTGTTTTTCCTTGGCAAGTCATTTTCATAATTCTTTGGTGAGCAGGTCTGAACTGCAACGGGCCATCCTGCCTGCTGGCCTCTGTCAGTAGGGAGCAGGACACCAGCCTCATGCAAGCAAGGCTGACAGGACACTGAGTTAGTGTTGAGTAAACTGCCTGCGAGGTGTGTGTCCTGCAAAGCTTCAAAATGTCCCAGAAACTGTGCTTTCCCTTCTGTGTTGCTGAAAATTCGTTGTTCTTGAGTCTGCGCAGTAAGAAAGTGGGCGGGGGCAGGACTCTCCCCGGTGTGTCGGATCACACTTGTCAGCACAGCCCTGCAGGAGGGGCTGGGGGCTGGCTCCAGCGGCTCTGGCTTCAAACCTGGCAAGCCCCTCTCTGCTCTCCTGCTCAGCACTCTGGCTGCCACAGCAGAGGATGGGGGGATGGCCATGACCATGCATGCTTTGGAATCAGTTACTTGGGAAGGAACATGTGCTCCTGTTGGTGGCTCCATGAGATCAGGGCTCTGAGGAGGAGTCATGCACTTAAAAAAAAAAAAGTACTATGTCAAAAGGTAGTTTTGGTTAAATTTTTGAAAGGACTAATGTGGTCCCATTGTCCCCCAACATCTTTAAAAAGAAGCACCTGGAGGAGACTGGCCTATGCCTGCTCTCAACACATGCCAGCAGCCAGGCCCATTACTTTTCTCCGCCACCCACAAGTCCCTTCTCATCCTTCTCCACATCTGCTTTCCACACTCTTCTTCCAGTGCAAGCTTCCAGCCCAGGACAATCACATCACAATTTTCACTTGTTAGCAACATATAGCTCTAACTTCTCCAAGCTGAGAAGCAATTTCATAGCCGTAGCAATTTATAAAAAACAAAAATTGGTGATTTGCTGCATCCAATTCACACAGGTAAGTAGTCACCTGTCACAGGAATGGAGAGAGAGCAGTATTTCAAACCATCTTTGGCTGTCTGATGTCAAAGCACATGCTTTCTCCAGCTGCCACTCACATATCCTGATCCTGGGCTGGGTCACTAGGAGAACCTAAGCCCCCTACCTCAAGATTCCCCAGATATGAGTAAATCTCACTTTCTCACATCAACCTGTACACTTCATCCTGTGAACACTAACCATGTGGCTAATAAGCTATGCTCCATCAACAGAAAGAGCATGGTTTCAAGAGATGAAAGAAGAGTTTTTACCTCTCCAGACCCACATGGTAATGCCACTTGTTTGCCAGCATCCCAGAGAATCTCCCCACTAGTTCAACACATTTATTCAAGCAACTCCCATCATTTCACAAAGATGCTCTTCCCCCCACCTCTTCTTACCAGAGTCGATAAAGAGAAGAGTTTTTACCTCTCCAGACCCACATGGTAATGCCACTTGTTTGCCAGCATCCCAGAGAATCTCCCCACTAGTTCAACACATTTATTCAATCAACTCCCATCATTTCACAAAGATGCTCTTCCCCCCACCTCTTCTTACCAGAGTCGATAAAGAATGGAAGTCCTTTGGTAGCTCAGGTGTGGTTGCGTCCATATGCACAGTAGTGGTGAAGTCCCCAGAGTCAGAGACAGGTGTGAGGGGTCTTATCTTCAATAGGTCACCTTTCTGGGATCTTTGACCCCAGGAGCTCATGCAAACAAGAGCCTCAACAGCTTCCATGTCTGTCTGCTCCAGGATGCTGCATGTAGACCTTTTGCTGTCATGCCACTTCCTCTCCAGGATTGATTCACATATGTCCATGATGCCAACCTAATGGCGACACAATGGCTTTTCAATCCAGGGAAAAACAGGAAAGGTAAGCCCCAGTGGGCATGTGGATACACATACCAGGAGCCCATACTATGCACACACAGTACTCCACACGCAACAAGCCCTGTGTCCTAGCAAAAGACATTAATGGAACGCTCACAACAACTTTGCTTTTAAGCCAATGTTCTGAACACTGGACTTTGGCGGCTGACTCTTAGAAAAGGTTACTAAACTCATGTTTTTCTTGGGTAAATGTCTAATAAGATTCCAGAGGTGTAAGCCTAAGTGAGTAGTGTGAAGTTGTTGCATAAAGAGGATGAACCCACGCTGAGGACATCCAAAAACTCTGCTGGTGGGAGAGATCCTCTGATGATGGCTGGGTTGGCAAAGCCACCAGAGTAGTGTTTCTTCGGAGGCATTTCTGGAAGCCCTCTAGGGCATTCGCCCTAGCCTTCTTAAGTCAGGCCATTACCACAAGCAGAATTTCCCTGGTGGCTGACCTCCACCGGCTCTGTGCAGGTAGAACCCACAGTGATTTAGCCTGTTTCCTCAACAGATTCAAAAAAACTAAGACACTTGTTACTGCCCCAAGTCTAGGGGCTCAGAGGAAGAGTTTGTTAAAGATCCACTTCAACTCAAGACAGGGATGTCTCCCCAGCGTACCACAGCACCTCCTTTTAAGACAGACAGGGGAGAGGACGACTAGAACCGACTTGTTTAAAAAACAAAACAAAATGGGCCGGCCGCTTGGGAGCGCGGTAGCACTCCCGCCGAGGGTTTGGATCCCACATACAGACCGGCCACTCACTGGCTGAGCGAGGTGCAGGTGCAACACCGAGGGTTGCGATCCCGTTGCCGGTCCCGGTACGGGCGTGACACTGAGGGTTGCAATCCGTTGCCAGTCACGAAAAAAGACAAAAAGGAAAAAAAAAAAAAAACCCTTTATATCTATAAACACACACATTTCCCCTCAATCTGCCTAAGTATCAAAATTTTGTCTGCCCAGGTTTCTCCAAAAGCGCAGAGGTTGGCTGCCTTTACGAATGCCACCCCCTCCAGGTTCTGCTTCACGAAGCTAACTGTGAAGTCACAGAATCACATCACACGCGGGAAGGGGCTCACCCAGAGTCGCCCGAGGAAGGTCTCCCGAGACCTCCTGCTGGGCCCCTCTGCAAGCCTGACCCCATGACGACCTGCCTGCAGACCTTCCAGGGGGACCCCTAACCCGCGCCACCCAAACCGCGTTCCACATTCCCGCCTGACCCGTCCCCACCCCCTATTGCCCGCAGTCTGGGTTCCCGCCCCTTGCCTCGCCCGCACCGCCGCGTGCCGCTTTCCCGCGGGCCCCTGGCACCGCACCCAGCCCTAACCCCGCCCCCTACCATCTTCACGCCGGGTCCCGCCCCTTGCCTCGCCCACACCGCCGCGTGCCGCTTTCCCGCCGGCCCCTGGCCCCGCCCCGCTTTCCCGCCAGCCGCACCCCCGCCCAAGGCCGCTCTCCTTGCAGGGCCGGGTGACGTCATGGCTGGAAATAGCCTTGCGCTGAGGCCAACGGGGCGGGGTCGCGGCGAAACACCGGACAAAGCTGAGCGTCCGCGCACACGCCCCCTCCCCGGCGCGACCCCGTGCGGCCGCCACCCAGCCGGCTCCGGAGCCCGCCCCAATTCCCTACCGGTGCGGCTGCGGCGGGGCCCTTCGCATCCCTCGCCACCTCCAGCCACGCGCCGCCCCTGGCTCAGACGGGCGCCCCTCCCGCGCCAGCCCCACCACTCACCGCGCG